AGAGTGGTGATTCATAACATGGTATCAAAGCCACGCCCTAAACTATGTCTCCCTAAATTTAACTATGTCAATAGAATCCTCAAATATCGAACAAAGAATTGTGAGTCTCAAATGTGTAGTCAAAAGTGACTAAAGTGTCGAACAAATGGTGTACTTTGTTCCAGGGCTCCAAAGAAAGGAGTCGAGCCTCGATTAAGGGGAGGATTCTATTGTTTAAATTGTATGAAATAATATATCTATAAACCATAAAACTAGTCATAATTGCCCACTAAACAATTATTAATATATTTATGAACATGTTTTAAGTTACAAAAAACTGTGTGATAACTATTTTGTATAATCAATATTTTAATTTAACATGAATAAATTATTTATAACATGAAATACTATATTTATTAACATTTTTATCTTTTTTTAAAATTATCCTGCATTTTAAAATTTTAAATTCAAAATCTAGATCACAAAATCCAAAAATAGTTTTAATCAACAGAATCTAGATTGCTTACTAAATGAAACATAAAACAAAATCCAGATTGCCTACCAAATAGGCCCAACTTTGCCAGTGATTTTCTCTTGTATGAACATGTGCAAAATTTCAGTTCTTTCTCAAAATTCCTATACATTTGCTGAAAAAGAACTTATGGCTATATATGGTTCGAAATTCTAAGTCAAAATGTGAGACTGATTCTGGAAAGCTACCATTTTACTTATTTATTGACATGAGACAGGACGGGCGAAACAAGCAAGCAATAAATCGATCCCAGCCGAAAAACAGTTGATTTGAGTATTTGTACAAGACAACTAGCATCAAGATCATTTCAAATGTTTTGAAGGTGTATTCCAGAAGATAAAAGAAAAATATTCAACTTGGTCAAATGCAAACAGTACAAGAAGTATATTATCCTCAAGTGTCAATGAGCATGCATAAAAAATGACATGGGAAACAAAACAATCAGATCTTACTGCAGTCAGACATTTGAATTAGAAATAAAGTGTGGGATGAGCAATAAGATCAAACATGCCTTCATCATATAGAAGATGCATTTTGCAGACCTATAGACTTCAAATTCATCAATATAGAGGAGCTTAGATGGTTTGTATATCAAGGAAGGCGACGACCTACCTCATACGTTAGCGTGCCCCCAGAAGATGTTGACTGCCGAAGTGTAACATTCGAAACCATACCATTAGCAGAGAGTATAAAAATTGCCCGAGATCCTTGTTGAGAAAATGACATGATTTTCAAGTTAACATCCTAAAACGGCAGGAAATGGGCGTTAGGAACAATTGGCAACTAGGCATTAAGAACAAATAGGAGTTAAAAGAGATCATTTGTAACAGCCCAAGCCCACCATTAGCAGATATTGTTCGCGTTGGCCTATTACATATAGCCATCGGCCTCACGGTTATAAAACACGTCTACTAGGGGAGGTTTCCACACTCTTACAAGGAATGCTTCGTTCCCCTCTCCAACCGATGTGTGATCTCACAATCCACCCTCTTTGGGAGGGCCCAACATCCTCACTGGCACATAGCTCAGTGTCTGGCTCTGATACTATTTGTAACAGACCAAGTCCACCGTTAGCAGACATTGTTCGCTTTGGCACGTTACGTACCGCCATCAGCCTCACAGTTTTAAAACGCTAGGAAGAGGTTTTCACACCCTTATAAGGAATGTTTTATTCCACTTCTCCAATCATTTAGCTAACCTATTATTATTTGATACAAGACTTATTCCCTGATGACAGAATAGATGCCTCTTGGCGAGGGATTCCAAGGCTTACCTCACCAATATTAACAGTGATCACGTGAGGTGTGAAATCTGCTCCAGCAATGAAGGCAACCTTGTTACCTGAGTAACAGATGCATTATGTAAGAACCACTTAGAAATGAAATGAAGTTTCTTCATTTATATTAAAATTGCATGGCCAGACTTTTAAAATTAATTCATGACATCAGTTACAACCATACCCATTAAATAATGATCGTACTGTTCAATATTTCTTTTTAAATATTCTCATTTACCATGACAAAAATCAGCATAAATTTCAAGAAAAACCAAGAACATATTACCTGAAAATATCATTTCAAATTTTCAATAAAAGAAAAAATCCAATAATCCAAGCCCCCTAACTTCTCGTGTCAACGTTAATATGACCCTTAAAGAGAGACAAAAAAAATCTTGTCAAGTAACTCTTCCTGAATATATTTTGATGCTTTTTTTTTTTTTTATAAACCTTCATAAGAACCATATCCTAACTATTATCTCGAGAATGTCCAACAAATAATTCCATTGAGTGAATACCGGACCCAAATCCTAAAAACAACCACGCTTTTGATTAAGCATGAGTAACAAAATCAAATAAAGCAGAGAGAGGCATTTTGACATCTTCTTAACCCGAAATGGCAAATTGTCTAGAGAGAGGAAAGATTCCTTTTTTAAGAGTACCCTTGGAAACAATCCAATGGAGACGAAGTGGGACCAGTAGCTCAAAGGATTAGAGCACGTGGCTACGAACCACAATTTCAAGGGTTCGAATCCTCGCACATAACCAGCCAAAAAGGGTAGGACTTTTTTTCTCTCATAAGACCATTTGTATCTATATGCATTAAGATCCCATATCACGAATCTCTCGAATCTAGTTTAAAATGTAAATGGTTAAGAGTTCAAACGTTTAGCTGGACGTCATATCAGCGAACATCCACACTTGGACTTAAAAAACCATCAATGACCTGTAACTTTTAGAGTCTTAAAAGAGGAAATCTTATCCTCTGTTACTCCATACTCTGTTTTCATGGCATTAAACTTCAATTTTCCATTAAAGGAAGCAGAAAAAGGGAAAAATGATGAAGAACAGAGCTACCAAGCATTGTTTCAATTATTTACTTTCAACAAACTAATATTCCGATACCTACACTTCATCCACTTTCAAGTTAAACCAACACTTCATAATAATGCTGCTCCCTGAATTTTCCTTCCATTTTCCATTGATTATCATAAGCAGCCAAGTTGGAAACTTCACTCAGTCTAGATTCTCCAGATCCAGACAAACAATGGCTATGTTCTCAAAGGCTATTCTATCCTAGGGAGAAAGTTCATCGATTTTCCAGAAGGCTCCAAAGTCACTTTTGATTCATAAATTACTATTTACAGCAGATCTGAAGAGAAATCACTATCACATCAAGACCCAACAAACATTCCCTCGTGATTCTACTGTACAAAATCCAAAAAAATACGTTTAAAACCATCACTTTCTACACCAAATATAACTACACGGACCCCTCTTATCTTTCCTACAAGTACGGAGATTCTCACAATTAAAGAGAGAGAGAGACAGAGAGAGACAGAGAGAGAGAACACAAGACCGCCATAACAGAATTTCAAATCATCAAATGATCTCAAATATACCTGGAATCTCAAATTCGTACCCTCGTCGCGGCTTCTTAATCGACTCTACTGACCGCCCTCTTCCCCGTTTCCAAACCGGAAATTCTCCACTCAGCGGAATCGAAGACGAAATCGGCATTGGCGACAAAGTTGGAGCTACAGTCCCATTGGGACCGTACTTTCTCGGCCTTCCTCTTTTCTTCTTCCCATCTGTAGCCGCCACCGTTGGAACACTCGCCAGCGGCTGCGGCGGCGGCGGCGGTGACTCACTATCTGTGCTTGTATTTTCAGGTCTCGAATCCATCATTCCTAAGCTCTCTGGTGCTTGGCTCACTTCTACTGCAAATCCAAAATCCACTCCCTCTTTCTCCTCCATTTTTACAGTGACACAGAGAAAAAAGATCGGTTCAAAAGCAAAACAACACAAACTCACCGCTTAAACCTTAAAAACCTCCATTATTCACACCACAGACGATCTTCCAAACCATAACATCAACGAAGAAGCTCTCAATGAAGAAGACAACGAAATAAGAACACAAGAAAACAAGAACACAGCCAATGAAGAGAGATGAAATCCAGAGCCTATGACTACAACATCAAACTCGAAACCTCCACTAGAACTGCTTCTAGATCAGGAACTTGAGCTTCAGTACTACAACTTGAACTCAGTTTCGTTTCAGTAACCTAAATCTCCACCATTACAGACTATTACACAGAGCTTCAGTGAAGGGAAAATCCAACAAATCACTGACCCAAAGATCGTAAAAATAAAATTTAAAAAAAAAAAAAAAACATAAAAAAAACAGTAAAAATAATTTCTCAGAAATTCAGGAAAAATAATCCAAACAAATCAGAATGATCGCATAAATTTTTTCCAGAGGCAGAAAATTAGGGTTTTGCAAAGGGAAATGAGAGGAAATAAATAAAGTAGAAAAAAGGAATGGGAAAATTAAATAAAATTAAATCAGGAAAAGAAAAATTAAGGTGAAAAAGTTTAATAGATAATTAATATTATATTTGGGAAATTCAAAGTATAGATTTTGGTTAATAAAATTGTTCACGTCCGTCTTCTAATTTGATTTGAATTTAATTCTTGAGATACTATATTATATTACTAAAATCCATAAAATTAATGGAGAAAGAATAAATTTTCAAAGATACAAAAATAATAATTATTATTATTAATAATTAATAACTTTGAATTTTCTTTTTTTTTTTTTGCTACGCTCTAAAATTTTAACCTTTTTCTTACTTAAATTGTTCACTCGTATGATATTTGCTTGTTCTCGAAGTTTAATCTTTGATGTATCTTCGAAGTCTTTAAACTTGAAAGTCTTTTGATCTTCTACAGATCATCGGGCTTTGTATAGAGTAGTTATATATAAACCATACACATCAGTCTTTTGATCTTCTACACATTCTCGGGCTTTGTATAGAGTAGTTATATATAAACCGAGTGTATACTCGCCACTAGTACACATGTGAGATTCCACATCAGTAGAATAACGAATAATTCCTTATAAGAGTATGAAAACTTCTTCATAGCATGCACGTAAAGTTTCATTTAAAAAATAGTTTCCTAGTTCGTAAAGGTGTTTCCCATAGAGACGTCGTTAATGTTCGTGATAAGAATATATTCACAGTTGACCAAAAAAGCCAAATAGAATTGACTTAGAGTTTCTCTACAACAACTACAAAAACTAACCACGATAAACTTTGTTAAGGTCATTGAGACTCATCACACGCCAGAGGCAAGCAAACCACCCAACCATTTGGTTATCCATCAAACTTGTATTGATTTTATATGCGTTTTCGGAAGCACAAATCCAGCTCTTTGTTCCTCGAATGAATATTCGATGTCGTCGTCCGGGATTTGCTCGACTTTGTAAGCAGAAGGAGGCAGGGCGATTGCCGGGGTTGTGGCAGTCTGCATTGCAACTGATAGAGTTGAAGGGGTAGATGGCACTGGAATTGTCATTGGCTTTGGATTCATGGTGCCCTGGTCGTCATCTTTAGGAACTGAAGTCTTCTTCAAAGGTGTGGCAAATGGCATATTGTTGGTTGGGCTTGTTTTTTGTGATGAGTCGCTAGATGCTGTGTTTTCATCATTGATAGAGTTCGTTGTGTTCGTCTTTGGTTGCACTGTTGTAGCAATCGGTGCGAAAGGTTTTCGAGTCACCAACTCGGGTTCACGAGCATTGGCCAGTGAGTTATTGTGGCTCACAAGTTGACCAGAAAAATCAAGTTCTCTTCGGCCTAAAACAAGAAAGAGGCACAAGAATATCAAACTACTGCCAAAAGCTGAACAGAAGAACTCATCACTAAATCAATGAACAAGAACTAATAAAAATGGCTGTACAATGTCTTAACGTTGGTATGGTATTATAACGGACAAGGAAAAAGAAATAAAGCCGTTTCTTCACAACTATGTTTTTTACTGGAAAGGTTCAAGAACAAAGAAATAAAGCCGTTCAATGACACTCTGTTTGTAAAATATCATTGCTTTTCAACGTTCTACTTACTTTGTTTGACCTAAATTCCAAATATATACATATATATACACACACACACACACACATGCTGGTTAAATTATGATACTTTAAAAAAAGGACTTCCGAAGAACTTTCTTCTTTTTGTTCTTTTTGTCAAAAGTTATTCGAACAGTAAAACATTTCATGTTTTAAGAAATTTCTTAAGTTTCATCCTCTAAAAACAAAAACCATAAAAAGAAAGGCTTTAAATATAAGTTTGAGTATTGACTTCAAATGAATACACAGAAAATACTATTGCCATATTGAAGATTATGGTCTCAATAGACGTACGTACGTGTATTCATGGCAAAAGTATAACCCAGATGATCAATAATAACTAGCCAGAAAAACATACCAGCAGTTGGAAGAGATCCAAATCCTTCATCATAGTTTTGATCATTCAGCTGGTCACTCTTCCTAGATGAACGTGACTGAGGTGTTGCCTTGGGCGTTTGGTGCGCGGACCCTCCAATGGAAAGCCTCTTACCTGCGGCTGAAGATCTGGGAGCCTTTTTAACACTCTGGGGTTTAGAAGGGCTTGGCTTTGATCCATAAAGAGCCTCCTGTTCTGCAATTAACTGTCCCTGGAGTTTCTTCTGGTCCTAATCAAATAAAACAAGGAGAAAGAAATAAGGACTTGACTGAATAAGTCAGTTTTTCAGTACGGAAAATGGCCACTTTAAAGTCAATCAGCACAGTTGGTGTGTCCATTGAGCAATAACAGTAGGAAACTAGAAGGATAGTAAGTATCAACCCGCAGCCTCCGACGCTCTTGCTCTTTCTCTTGCCTTAATACGGTATACTCTTCAAGCATATTGAGCAGACGGACCTGAAACGAAGTCAATTACAGAAGAAAATGTTGAACAATTTCTGCAAGAATATTAAGTTGAACAAACAATTGACAATTAAAATATCATATGAAGTACTTACACCATCGTATGTAAACTCAGTGCCTCTGTCATTCTCCCATGCAACCGTTTTTGCAGTTAATGCATCTACCATTCCTGCATAAGATGGTTATGATATTCAAAGACACGAAGATAACATTCAGAAAAGAAAGCCAATGACATGACTGCTGGTCTGAACACTTCATAATAAAGCACATAAAGGCACGAATTGAATTTATTGAATACCAACTTAATGAATGAATGTCTTCAAAAGTCTACTAAACTGTTTGAATACAAACCTGGAAGCTTATTAACCAAAGCTCGGGCCTTCTCTGCGCGTTTGAGAATGAGATGTGTCCCTCTACCAGCATTATATCTATTTTCATCCTGTGAAACACAAATAATGTCAGGGTGCAGCTAGATTTAAACAATATAGATCAACTAGTTGGTGTAATGGAAAGTGATAAACACTTTACCCTATTATACTCCTCGAGCCAACACTCCTCTTCACATGCAGCCAACCATTTCTCAACTCTTTCAAGAATTTCTTTCCTCACAAATGCTTCCCCTTTAATCCTGGCAACCTGAAGCTCAATTTGCTCGAGAATAATGGCAGGGTCAACATCTCCTACATCAGATGGAATTGCATACAAGTTAATAAAACAACAAAAGGAAGAGGCAGTAATATTTTGTTTTATATTACACTGAATGTTACCGGAGTCTAGAGTTTCAATTGCATAATCCACTATTGTATCTTCCTCTAGGACCAAATGTGTTTTTCTACAAATTTCATCCAGCTCTGACTTCTTCTTCAAAACAAGTTCTTTCATCTTGCTTGATTTTAACTCTTCTAACCGAGACACCTCTGCTTCAACCTGTAAAATATTGATCATTATTAATCTAAATTCAATTCTTTAAGTTTCCATGACATGCAAGTTTTGTTATAGCAGAAGATCAAGATGATACAAACTCGGAAGTACTCACAGTATTAATTGAGTCCACAGAAAGACTATTGGGTTCGTTTACTTCATCTTCTGAAGCAGCTATATTACATGTCACATTCTGGAACAACTGTTGTTCTTCCATTGGCGTATCCATTAGATTCCAAAGCTCCAACAAAGTTGTAGCAAGATCTTGGAGCTGCCCAAAAAAGGTGTTATTGCAGCTAATTCAAGGCAGATAGGTTTTAAATTGTTATCTACGGATATATAGATTTGAGGTAATACCCGCTGCATTCTTCGTAATTTGACCTCCCGCAAATTAGTTATTGCAGCAGCCAGGGTTTCAATTGATTCACTAGTTAAGGTAAAAGGTCCTTCTGGGTCACCCAAAGTCGGATGAAATTCGTTCACTGTTTGCTTGAAATCCATCCCAAGCACTAAACAAAGCAAGTTTAGAGTCTGAAGGTGCTCCTGAATAACCATCTGCCGGTCACTCTGCATAAGTGGGTATCGAGTTTACTGAGTGACTGATAGTACGAAAGGCATCTATCTAAAAAAAGTATATAACGAACTTATTAAAAAAATCAACAAAGTTAACCTTCTCCTTCTGTAGCATATGTAACTTTCCCGTTAGTTCTTCTAGCTTCCTCAATGATAAATCATTTTCATCAATATCTATACTGGAATGTGAAAATTCTGATCCATAAATCTCACAGGAAATCTTCTGTATTTGTTCTAGGACTTCTAAAAATTGGTTTCTTCTGTCTATTTTTCTTTTCTGCATTTCATCCACTTGTGGAAGAACACGGGCCATCTCTTCTTTCAAGGTTCCAGCCTTTTGATCAGCCTGAGAATAATAGAAACGCTATCAATAATCACACCATCAAAAGCACTCAAATCATTCAAAGAAATATCAACATATATATCTATGCCTATAAAAGTTGCCATATTGAGCAAACTGTGAACTTTTGTCATTACCAAATTTTGCACATTAGATGAGTTATGCACAATTAAATTGTACGCAAGATTGAAAGGTTGACCAATAACTCATTATCTGAGCCACAAAAGTTCATGCAGAGATTAGCAACTAAAACTTAGTCATATTAGTTGATTATATAGAGCCTAGAAACCATTTGAAAACCAAGACCTATGTTTAAAAAACAAAAAATCCTAGAACTGTGATATCGGCACGCATCTATTTCACGTTTAGCTTTATGATGGCCAATCATAATTAAACAAAATCAAAGTTATTATGAGGTGAAATCCTGCAATATGTTTCAACCTGTCTCGTGTGTACTGGTCTCTCGCCCATTGCAGAGCAGATGGCAGCCAGTTCTGCTTCAGAATCAGCAATTGCCTGTCTTAGCTGAGCTCTAAAGCGGTTTGCTTGATCTACCTTTCTTCTGTAAACTTCTAAGCACTCTCGTTCAACCTCAAGCAACATTTTGTCCCTTGTGGCCTCAGATTCCCCTACTTCGTCCCAAATGATCTAATATTGATATAATATAAATATTTCAGCCTGGCGAACTTACAAAAAATGGCAGCATTGTTCAAAAGGTTTTAGGAAAAAGAAAAAAACCTGAAGTTCATGTAGAAGTGTTCCACATGTTGTTTCCATTTGTAAAAGCGGATCATTTCGAACATTAGTCATGCTGACGCAATTCAGTCAGCTACAAAAGATGACTGAATCAGTATATCAAATAGTATAAGCAAACTTCGCGCCACAAAAATGAAAACGATCCACAAATACTGACGAATCTTCAAAGAAAACGATTATTCCATTCCGAATATGAAACTCAAACCCTATCCAAATAGCCGCCTCAAAAACAATGCGTCAGATTATGGGAATACAAAATGCTAAAACGATTAAACACGAATCCAAACACATTCACATGAAAACTTGGTTCAATCGATTCATAGCATGACATTCAGAAAACATCCCGTCGTTCCGCTCAAAACATGACCGTAAGAAAAAAAACCGAATCATCATTTCCGAATTCAAATAAAGAGAAAACAAACATCATCCTCGACACGATAGAAAACAAAAAATTGCAGTTACGCTCAAATGTATAGGCAACACGTCTCATTTCCCCAAATCCACAACAGAAACAATAAAAAATTGCAATTACGCTCAAATGTACAGGTAACACATTTCATTTCCCCAAATCTTCAACAACAACAACAAAATTCCTCGTCACATACAGAGCGATTTCCCTCAATTAACGAATGAACGAGAATAGAAATCAGAGAGCTTAAACACAAACCTGATCAATCGATGCTCCGAAAACTTTTCCGTGGCGAATAGGATTTGTGATTATCTCCTGAGATCTATATGTTCGTTTTGTTCCGCGTTTCGAATTTGTAAGAGAGAGAGAGAGAGAGAGAGAGAGAGATTGAAAAATGGGGGAAAAACAGAGAGAAGAGAGACGTTATGGAAAATTGGACCGTTGGGGAAGAGAATATATTTTATTTTATATGATTTATATATTTATTGATGTTGTATTAAAAAAATAAAAGAAAAAGGGGTTTGAATTTCAAACAGAGAGAAAAGAGAGGAGAGTTTGGGTCCGGTGTGCCGCGGCTGTACATTAAGAATACGAACGTATACAAGGCCCACGGCCCAACAAGACCGGGCTGACAGACCTACAAACCGGGAAATTCAAGGCCCAATGTTAAGAAAACCGTTGGCCTCACAACTCCTTTTCATGCGAGTGGTTAGGTTTCTTAAATTTATACCGTTTGATAAAAATATCTCAAAAGTTTTAAAAATACCAGAAAATTATTAAAAGCTAAATATAGTTTTAACTTTTAATAGTACTTTCAACAAATTTCATCATTATCTTTTAAATTTAAAAATAAAAATTAAAAATTAAAAATAATTCATTTAATAAATATTCATGAAATTTTAAAAATATTATTAACACTTTAAGTCTTACCAAATAAATAAATAAATATAATAATAATAATAATAAATAATATTCGGAGTATCTTTTAAACATGGTATTGGACAATAATGTTTTTTAATTTAAAATTCTTAAAGAAATTAATTTTAAAAAATTAAATAGGTTTTTAAATTTAAAAAAATTAATGGTGTTTTTTAAGTTTTTTATTTTTAGTTTGAGTGTATTAATGACGTTGCAACCTTCAGAAGTATTTTCAGAACACTTTTAACGTAAAATGGTATTTTTAAAACACTTTTAGTATTTTTTAAATAAAATATTCCTCATTTTTTAATCCATATTTTTAATATTTAAAGGTTTTTTTAAATTTTTATAAAAATTAAAGAAAGTTATCTATTCGAAATATTTTTATTAATTTAGCATAAAAATGCATTTCTCAAAATTTAACGTCAGTTTAATATATTTTTTTTAATTGATAATAAAACATCAAACTTTCAATATTATGTCCGGATAAATTTGTGAATTTAAAAAATCAAGCGCATCTATTTTTAAATTCAATAAATAAAAAAAATCATAAGATTCAATTCGTTTGCATTTGATATAGAAACGAAAATCGACCTTAGTGATCAGACGATGCGGCGTGTAAAAGTTATCGCTCAATAAATAAAAGTTTCTTAAGTCTCGACTAAGTAAATTAAAATTTTATTCGAGAATGGATTCACTTGACGGTTTTAGTGTAAATTTTAATTTTGTTTAAAAAAGAAATAAAGAAGGAAAAAAGAAAAAAGCATTGGCATTCATACGCTACTATTTCTTCACGGTTTCTTCCCAGAACATTCTCTTCCTTCTCTTCCATTTCACCGTTTTTTTTTTTTTTTTTTTTTTTT